CAGCAGGAAATCATTAGCATAATAGGCCACACCGAACAGCAGACATTCATTTGCTTATTAGGACACACCCCTGACAGCACAGCTCATTAGCATATTAGGCCACACACCCCATGTTTGCAAAAGTGTGGTCATCCAGACACACCCACCTTTTGCTTCTTATTCTGTTTACCTTGTTTGTTGTCAAAACCCAGGGCCTTTTTTTGTAGCAGGAACTCCTTTGCATGTTAGGCCACACACCCCTGATGTAGCCAGTCCTAATGGGTTTCTGCTGTTGGGTGTGGCCTCTTATGCTAATGAGTTCCTGCTGGGTGTGGCCAACTCGGGAGCCAGCTGGGACTCCGTTCCTGTGTGTTCCTGCCCCAAAATAGCCCTGCTCCAGAGAGTCTATTTCAGTCTGGGAACAAGAGTCTATTTCGCATGAGCGCATAAGGGGGGGATCCCTTTGTACCGTCCCTCTATTACTGGGGACGGCAAGGCCATGCTCCTTGCTAGGGTGAAGGCCCTTCTGGTATTATAAGATTCACGAAAATATAAATCGGCTGCAGGAGCAACCACATATCTACTGTTTGCTGGAGAAAAGTCATTTGGTGAACTGCAAATGTCTGCTTGCCTCTCCGAATCTAGCAGTCTCTGCTGAATAAGCAATTTTGCCCGGTCTATGCCAAGATCCAGGAGGATTTGGGGTGACATTTGGACCACTTGTAGCCAACTGCTCTGAAATTGGCCACGCAGGGTGAGAGGAAATAGTCCCTTTAGGTTAATACTGTCCGTTATCCATTTATATATGGAAAGAATGCAAATCCTAGCTTCTAAGGGTGGGCCAGTTTGGTGTAGTGGTTAAGTGTGTGGACTCTGGGAGAACCGGGGGTGATTCCCCACTCCACCACTTGCACCTGCTGATGTGACCTTGGGTCAGTCACAAGCTCTGTCAGAGCTGTTCTTGAAAAAGAGCCGTTTCTGTCAAGAGCTCTCTCAGCCCCACCCACCTCACAGGGTGTCTGTTGTGGGGAGGGGAAGGGAAGGGAAAGGAGTTTGTAAGCCGCTCTGAGACACCTTTGGGTAGTGAAGGGCAGGCTATACATCCAATCTCTTCTTCTTCTTTCCATTAGAAGTTGCCACCGATGGCCATGTTCTGTGGTACATTATCCTTCCCCTGTTGTAACTTGAATGTTCATGAACATCTCAGGGTAGGGGTTAAAAACTGTGGGATTTTTTGCTTATCATGCATGAGAACGCAGAGATAAATCTCTTAATCACAACCGATGGAGTCCAGGTGGGAGCCTGAGCTTCTTAGGAGAAGGACTTGATGCACCCTGAAGGCCTGCTTTGGTGAAGCCTAATTGCCTTGCCCTGGCTGTCCCGATCTCAGAAGCTCAGCAGGGTGAGTCCTGGCCAGGACTTGGATGGGCGGCCGTCCAGGAAGCCCAAGGTCTTTAAGCAGAGGCAGGCCATGGCAAACCACCCCTTACTGTCTCTTGCCTTGTAAACTCTACGGGGTCGCTGTCAATCGGCTGGGACTCGGTAGCATTTCCCACCTCCACATTGCTCTGTTGACATCTAGGTGGAGACCGGTGGGAAGAGGCCAATGCGCGCACGTACAACATCGAAGGCACCTCCTACGCTCTTCTGGCCCTGCTGAAACTGAGGAAGTTCGAGGAGGCTGGCCCCGTTGTAAATTGGCTGACCCAGCAGAAGTATTACGGGGGGACCTACGGGCACACTCAGGTCAGTGGCCACGTCACGGTCCTTTGAGGGCAGGCTACAGGGAGTGGATTAGGGTTGCCAGCTCAAGGTGGGGGAACGTCTGGCGTTATTGTAGTATACTTTATTAGTAGTATACTTTATTGTCATTGTACATAGTACAAGGAAATTAAAGATGCAATCATTTCGGTGATCTACAACAATATTCATATGCACTCACACACCATTCACTACTGTCCCATAACTCCTTTAAGGTTCACATAGCAACTTAAAACCACCCATGTCACCCAAATTCCAATTTCATACAGCATTTAAGGCAATAATAGCTCTCGAATGAAAACTATTTTTTATCTATTTGTCCTTGCTTTAATTGTCCTATATCTTCTGCCTGAAGGCAGCAGTTCAAACAGGGAATGATCAGGATGTGACAAGTCCTGCAAAATGTTCTTTGCTTTTTTCAAACATCGAGAACTATACCATTCCTCCAGGAATGGGAGAGGGCAGCCAATGATCTTCTGGGCTGTGATGACAACCCTCTGGAGTGCTTTCCTCTCCACAGCCATACAACTGGCAAACCAGGCACAGACGCAATATGTTAAAATGCTCTCTATTGAGCAACGATAGGAGGACATCAATGTTTTCTCACTCAAGTTATTTTTCTTTAAAAGTCTGAGAAAAAAGAGCCTCTGCTGGGCCTTCTTCACCAGAGCAATGGTGTTAGTGCTCCAGGTCAAATTTTGCTCGATAGTCACTCCCAAAAACTTGAAAGTAGCCACCCTCTCCACTCGTTCTCCACCAATAACCAGTGGCTGGATGTCCGTTTTATTCCTCCTATAGTCCACTACCAATTCCTTGGTCTTGGTGGTGTTGAGGATCAGATTATTTTCCCTGCACCACACACAAAGCCGTTCCACCTCATCCCGGTAAGCAGACTCATCATTCCCAGAGATGAGCCCCACCACAGTGGTGTCATCAGCAAACTTAATGATGGTGTTACTGGGGTGGGTGGAGGTACAGTCCTGCATATAGAGGGTATAGAGCTTTGGAGAGGGTGGAGTTTGGGCAGGGTATAAGGGCTTGGATCCCACCCTCCAAAATAACTATTTTCTCCAGGGGGACTGATCTGTGTCAACTGGAGATCAGTTGTAATTCCAGGAGATCTCCCGGCCCCACTTGGACTTTGGCAACCCTAGCCACCGCAGACTGCTGGCAGAGGGCCACACAGCGTCCTGCTCCTCTGTCCACAAAAAGGCTCCTTGCAGTGAGGAAGGTCAGGAAGAAGGGTTCACACACCTGGCCTTTACTTTGACAGCCTGGTTCCCCACGGGGAAGGAGCGATCCCAGCTCCAAACTGCAGCTTGTACTGCCTCCTCATGTAATGTTCTCCTTTAGGGAGCTTCACACTGCAGGAGGAAGAAGAGGGCATAGACATTCCTCCAGTGCTCCCTCTAAGCTGCGGCATCCTGTGAGCAAAAATTCTACTTTGTGAGCTACTCTGGTCGCGAAGAGTCGGACTCGACTGTGCGACTGAACAACAAAAACTGGCATTAAAGCTGCGAGCGAGCAATTTGACTGCTGCAAAACTTGGTTTCCTCTGGAGCCCATCCTTCCTGAGCCAAGACAAAAATCTGTGAGCTGGAGGCTAAAAAAACTGTGTGCTAGCTCACACTAACTCAGCTTAGAGGGAACACTGCTCCTAACTGTCCTCCTTCCCCAGTTGAAAAGAAATAGGAGGGCAAAAAACCCCCACATTAATTTATAATGTGGGGAACTGCGGTGGCTCAAGTTGTTAAGACGCTGAGCTGCAGGCCGGAAGGTCGGTAGTTCGGCAGTTTAAGACCCGGGTGCCGTGTGATGGATTGAGCTCCCGTCTCTGGTCCCAGCTCCTGCCAACCTAGCAGTTCGAAAGCAAGAAATGGCAAGTAGATAAATAGGTACCGCTTCGGTGGGAAGGTAACAGCGTTGCGTGCGCCTTGGCGTCTAGTCATGCCGGCCACATGACCACGCAAAAAGTCTCCAGACAGCGCTGGCTCTTCGGCTTGGAAACGGAGATGAGCACCGCAACCCTAGAGTCGGATTCGACTGGCTTTTGAGCAAGGGAAACCTTTACTTTATAATGTAATTACAGAGTGGGCCTTCCCGAATTAATACCCTGGAACCACTTCCCCCTGGTCACCAAACTATTTGTGTATTCAGAGCAACTCTGCATTTTGGGTTGGATCCGGATTAGAGTTTTGGTGGCTGCGCCCCCTGTTGACATATGCACTGCAGGAAACACCTGCAAGGGACCAGTGTGCCTGGATCCAACTTGCCCACTGCCTGAAGTATGAAGCTGCTCCAGTGCGCCACAATGCGCCCAGCATCCTGTGTCCACGGACCTTCCTTTCCTCCGGGCTAAGGGCCGTGTTGAGAGTTCTGCTGCGAGGGGTTCCTCACTCGCTCTCTCTTCTCCCTCCAATTGCAGTCAACTATTATGGTGTTCCAAGCTCTTGCCCAGTACCAGACGGATGTCCCACCCCGTAAGGACCTGAATTTGGATGTTTCTCTTCAATTGCCGGGACGTTCTGCTGCGATCAAGTATAGAATTAACTACCAAAATGCCCTCCTCGCTAGATCAGAAGAGGTATGAAAGTTCTGTGAGAAGTTTCTCGCTTGACATTCAGTGTCTGTTTCTAATCCACGCTCTTGTCAGGGCTCGGGGTGGGTGATGCACGCTGGGGTTCTCGGAAGCCGGTGGTCTGAAATCCTGACTCCTCCAAGGACCTTTGCTCCCAATCCAGCACTGATCTTTCCCTTTCTTGAACTATGCACCTTTCAGTCTGGGTATTTCGCCCAAGACCCTTGCAACCTTGCATAGTTCTGGCACAGCTGTCCTTGAAAAAGAGCAGTATCTGTCAGAGCTCTCTCAGCCCCGCCTACCTCACAGGGTGTGTGTTGTTGGGAGGGGAAGGGAAAGGAGTTTGTAAGCCGGTAGTGAAGGGCGGGGTATAAGTTCAATCTCCTCTTCTTCTTTCAGAGCTGTTCTCTCACGGGCAGTTCTCGGGAGAGCTCTCTCGGCCCCACCTACCTCACAGGGTGTTTGTTGTAGGGAGGGGGAAGGGAAAGGAGTTTGTAAGCCACTGTGAGACTCCAAGTGAAGGGCGGGGTATAAATCCAATCTCTTCTTCTTCTTCTTTGATTAAAAATTTGTTCAATGCTTCATTTGTTTATTTATGCTTAAAACCAAGGGTCATTTCGTAGAAAAAGAGGTGCAGGAGCTCATTAGCATAACTCATCAGCATAACTTATTTGCATATGCCATACCCCCTGACATCACCAGATGTGTGTCAGAAGGCAACATCCACCACTCAGGCTCCACTGGACTATTTTGGATTGCTAGCTATTTGGGACATGTGCAGATCTGTCCTCACAGAGGAGGGAGAGCTTGTACCTGAATAAAACTTGGTATTAAAGGTGCCGCTGGACTATTTTGGATTGCTAGCTATGGGGGGGTGGGAACGTGCAGATCTGTCCTAGCAGAGGAGGGAGAGCTTGTACCTGAATAAGACTTGGTCTTAAAGGTGCCACTGGACTGTTTTGGGCCGGGGGGAGCTCTGCAACTTACCTGGCTGCTTCTTGCTCTGACTGAAGGCTGCTGGGAGCAGGGGGTGGGGCTTGTTGCATGTGCTCTTTATACCCTGGGCTCTTTACTGCCTGGGCTCTTTACTACCGGAGCTTCGCTCCTGTGCGCTCCTGCAGGAAATGACCCCTGCTTAAAACACACTTTAACACCCCCCCCCAAAGCCACCTCAGCGGTGGCTGTGTGGTAGCCACAAAGGCCAGTGTGCTGCTTAGCTGGAAACGCAATCCGGAATCAGGTTGAACAGCAAAGCCAAGGGTCGAATAGCCGGGAAATCAGTTCAAAGTTGCTGGGATCAGAAACAAGGAGCACTTGCTGCACACCAGGGCAGACCTGAATATGCAGAGTTTCTGCTGCACTGGGACAGGTGCGTGGAGTGCTTTTGAACAGGTCCTCCCTTCCCTGGGAGTCGGGTCTGCCAAGGCTCACAGCTCCTCCCGTTGCTTTTGCAAGAGCAGCAGCCTGGCACGCCTCCTTCACTCCTACATAGTCAGCCTCCGGGGTGCCCTACGTCTGGGGCACTCGGGAGAACTGGGCGGGGAGTCTGGCCTTGGGGTGTCCTCAACTGGGGGTGCTGGGCCGGGTTCAGGGTCGGTCTCTCCTTCTGGCTGCACCTCCTGTGCAGCTGCTGAGGCCACTTCTTCCTCAGGTGCTGTTAAGGGTTCTTCTTCTCGGCTGACTCCAGAGGAGGCTGGGTTTGCTCCCTGCCTCTTCCTCATCTGAGGAGCAGTCAGCCTCAGCAGAGCCGTGACCCATGACAGCCAGGTACACGCTGGCGCAAAACATGGTGAGTGTGCGTGTCAACAGTGGACTCATCCCTAAAACGGTGTCCATGATGTCCGGAAGCCCCTAAGGAGCAGGGCCGGCTCGCTCAGTAGGTGAACTCGGCGTTCGCCTAGAGCAGGCCGGCCCTTAGGCACTTTGCATCATGAACTAAGTCACGCCCAGTGAAACGTTAGGTTTAAGAATGTATTTATGGTAGAAAAACCAGGAGAAGATATGATATGTCAAACTGTGGTATGAATGAAACTAGACAAGCATAGGTGTAGGAATTTTTCTGATGAAGAGGCGAATCATTCTGGAGGTTTTCGTCGGATTCACTTGCAATTTGATAGAAGTTCACCTTCACCTGAAACTTACCATTCTTTTGTGTATTAGTATCTGCTTTAATATTGTTGTATGTTATAATATACTTTGATACGCTCAAGCGCTCTGTTCTACCAGTCTGTGTTTCATTTGTTTAGATCGGCCCTTAGGGGTGCCAAACTGCAACCGCCCCCCAACCGCCAAAAGCCCCCCCCGTCGGAAGGCGCCCTCCCCCCTTGCCTTTGTTCCTCTGCCGGCCTGCCAGTCGCCCCCCCTCTGTCCTCCGCTCGAACTTTTTCCTGCGGCGTGCCCCCTGACCCCCCTCTGCTTCGCCCAACTTTTGGCTCATCCCTCCCCCGCC